TCAAACCGCTAATAATAAAGTTACGAATTTTCTAAATTCGGCCGAAAAGAATACATTGATAAGCCTCTATTTTGGAATTTTTACCTCAAAAACTATTGGGGGCTCAGAGATGAAACTTTGAGGCTCTATTCTTGAAGATTTAAGATAAAACATACTAAAAATTCAAACCGCTAATGATAAAGTTACGAATTTTCTGAATTAGGCAAAAATGAATACATTGACAAGCCTCTATTTTGGATTTTTTACCTCAAAAACTATCGAGGGCTCAGAGATGAAACTTTGAGGCTCTATTCTTGAAGAATTAAGGTAAAACATACTAAAAATTCAAGCTGATCAAACCGCTTATAATAAAGTTACAAATTTTCTAAATTAGGCAAAAATAAATACATTGAGAAGTTTCTATTTTGGACTTTTTACCTCAAAAATCATCGGGGGCTCAGAGATGAAACTTTGAGGCTCTATTCTTGAAGGTTTAAGATAAAACATACTAAAAATTCAAACCGCTAATAATAAAGTTACGAATTTTCTGAATTAGGCAATAATGAATTCATTGATAAGCCTCTATTTTGGAATTTTTACCTCAAAAACTATTGGGGGCTCAGAGATGAAACTTTGAGGCTCTATTCTTGAAGGTTTAAGATAAAACATACTAAAAATTCAAACCGTTAATGATAAAGTTACGAATTTTCTGAATTAGGCAAAAATTAATACATTGACAAGTTTCTATTTTGGACTTTTTACCTCAAAAATCATCGGGGGCTCAGAGATGAAACTTTGAGGCTCTATTCTTGAAGGTTTAACATAAAACATACTAAAAATTTAAACCGTTAATAATAAAGTTACGAATTTTCTGAATTAGGCAATAATAAATTCATTGATAAGCCTCTATTTTGGAATTTTTACCTCAAAAACTATTGGGGGCTCAGAGATGAAACTTTGAGACTCTATTCTTGAAGATTTAAGGTAAAACATACTAAAAATTCAAGCCGATTAAACCGCCTATAATAAAGTTACAAATTTTCTAAATTAGGCAGAAATGAATGCATTGACAAGCCTCTATTTTGGATTTTTTACCTCAAAAACTATCGAGGGCTCAGAGATGAAACTTTGAGGCTCTATTCTTGAAGGTTTAAGATAAAACATACTAAAAATTCAAACCGTTAATGATAAAGTTACGAATTTTCTGAATTAGGCAAAAATTAATACATTGACAAGTTTCTATTTTGGACTTTTTACCTCAAAAATCATCGGGGGCTCAGAGATGAAACTTTGAGGCTCTATTCTTGAAGGTTTAACATAAAACATACTAAAAATTTAAACCGTTAATAATAAAGTTACGAATTTTCTGAATTAGGCAATAATAAATTCATTGATAAGCCTCTATTTTGGAATTTTTACCTCAAAAACTATTGGCGGCTCAGAGATGAAACTTTGAGGCTCTATTCTTGAAGGTTTGAGGTAAAACATACTAAAAATTCAAGCTGATCAAACCGCCTATAATAAAGTTACGAATTTTCTAAATTAGGCAAATATGAATACATTGACAAGCCTCTATTTTGGAATTTTTAACTCAAAAACTATTGGGGGCTCAGAGATGAAACTTTGAGGCTCTATTCTTGAAGGTTTGAGTTGAAACATACTAAAAATTCAAGCTGATCAAACCGCTTATAATAAAGTTACAAATTTTCTAAACTAGGCAAAAATGAATACATTGACAAGCCTCTATTTTGGAATTTTTACCTCAAAAACTATCGGGGGCTCAGAGATGAAACTTTGAGGCTCTATTCTTGAAGATTTGAGGTAAAAAATACTAAAAATTCAAGCTGATCAAACCGCTAATAATAAAGTTACGAATTTTCTAAATTAGGCCAAAAAGAATACATTGATAAGCCTCTATTTTGGAATTTTTACCTCAAAAACTATTGGGGGCTCAGAGATGAAACTTTGAGGCTCTATTCTTGAAGGTTTAAGATAAAACATACTAAAAATTCAAACCGTTAATGATAAAGTTACGAATTTTCTGAATTAGGCAAAAATTAATACATTGACAAGTTTCTATTTTGGACTTTTTACCTCAAAAATCATCGGGGGCTCAGAGATGAAACTTTGAGGCTCTATTCTTGAAGGTTTAACATAAAACATACTAAAAATTTAAACCGTTAATAATAAAGTTACGAATTTTCTGAATTAGGCAATAATAAATTCATTGATAAGCCTCTATTTTGGAATTTTTACCTCAAAAACTATTGGGGGCTCAGAGATGAAACTTTGAGGCTCTATTCTTGAAGGTTTAAGATAAAACATACTAAAAATTCAAACCGTTAATGATAAAGTTACGAATTTTCTGAATTAGGCAAAAATGAATACATTGACAAGCCTCTATTTTGGATTTTTTACCTCAAAAACTATCGAGGGCTCAGAGATGAAACTTTGAGGCTCTATTCTTGAAGAATTAAGGTAAAACATACTAAAAATTCAAGCTGATCAAACCGCTTATAATAAAGTTACAAATTTTCTAAATTAGGCAAAAATAAATACATTGAGAAGTTTCTATTTTGGACTTTTTACCTCAAAAATCATCGGGGGCTCAGAGATGAAACTTTGAGGCTCTATTCTTGAAGGTTTAAGATAAAACATACTAAAAATTCAAACCGCTAATAATAAAGTTACGAATTTTCTGAATTAGGCAATAATGAATTCATTGATAAGCCTCTATTTTGGAATTTTTACCTCAAAAACTATTGGGGGCTCAGAGATGAAACTTTGAGGCTCTATTCTTGAAGGTTTAAGATAAAACATACTAAAAATTCAAACCGTTAATGATAAAGTTACGAATTTTCTGAATTAGGCAAAAATTAATACATTGACAAGTTTCTATTTTGGACTTTTTACCTCAAAAATCATCGGGGGCTCAGAGATGAAACTTTGAGGCTCTATTCTTGAAGGTTTAACATAAAACATACTAAAAATTTAAACCGTTAATAATAAAGTTACGAATTTTCTGAATTAGGCAATAATAAATTCATTGATAAGCCTCTATTTTGGAATTTTTACCTCAAAAACTATTGGGGGCTCAGAGATGAAACTTTGAGGTTCTATTCCTGAGGATTTGAGGTAAAACATACTAAAAATTCAAGCTGATCAAACCTTTAATAATAAAGTAACAAATTTTCTAATTTAGGCCAAAAAGAATACATTGATAAGCCTCTATTTTGAAATTTTTACCTCAAAAACTCTTGGGGGCTCAGAGATGAAACTTTGAGGCTCTATTCTTGAAGGTTTGAGGTAAAACATACTAAAAATTCAAGCCGATTAAACCGCTTATAATAAAGTTACAAATTTTCTAAATTAGGCAGAAATGAATGCATTGACAAGCCTCTATTTTGAAATTTTTACCTCAAAAACTATTGGGGGCTCAGAGATGAAACTTTGAGGCTCTATTCTTGAAGGTTTGAGGTGAAACATACTAAAAATTCAAGCTGATCAAACCGCTTATAATAAAGTTACAAATTTTCTAAACTAGGCAAAAATGAATACATTGACAAGCCTCTATTTTGGAATTTTTACCTCAAAAACTAGCGGGGGCTCAGAGATGAAAATTTGAGGCTCTATTTTTGAAGATTTGAGGTAAAACATACTAAAAATTCAAGCTATTCAAACCGCTAATAATAAAGTTACGAATTTTCTAAATTAGGCCGAAAAGAATATATTGATAAGCCTCTATTTTGGAAAACATACTAAAAATTCAAGCTATTCAAACCGCTAATAATAAAGTTACGAATTTTCTAAATTAGACCGAAAAGAATATATTGATAAGCCTCTATTTTGGAATTTTTACCTAAAAAACTCAGACTAACACAAAACAGCAACAGGCTCAGGAACATTCAAGGCGCACACATCCTCGCCGGCGACTTTAACGCACATCACGAGGCCTGAGGCGAACAAACGACAGACGCAAGAGGCACTCAAATAATGGACTGGGCGGTAGCAAATGGATACAGCATAGAAAACGACGAAAAACAAGGCCCGACTTTTGAGACAGCAAGGGGGCAAAGCTTCATCGACCTCACCCTTACAAAAAGAACAACCATCAGAAACTGGAAAATCCTGGATGAAGAAAGCCTGAGTGGACACAAGTACATAACATTCACGATCGACAGACAAAGCGCCAACAAGACACCAAAAAGGAGGGAGTATGACTTTGCGAATACGGACTGGTACGCTTTTGGCACAAGGATCAAGGAGGAAATAGCAAAACACAACTGGGAGCCAAGAACAACAGAAAACCTAGAAAAGAGTGCCGCAAGAATCCAAAAGATCTGCAGCAAGACCTGCAAGAAAATCATCAGGCAAAGAGAAGTAGACGAACAGACACAGGACTGGTGGAACGAAGACCTGCAAAAACTACGCCAGACTGCCCATGCCCATATTTGAAATGTATTTGTTGTAAACTTCATTTTAAATACACTTTCCTATTAAATTTTTGTATTTGGTTCTAGTTTTGATTCTCACCCCTTCATTACCCCCAGGTCCGACAATATAGCAATGTTTGGTCTTAGTCACTCAAAGTTTGAGTCCACAGTTCTATGATTGGTTTCGATAACATGGCTACGTTAGAGAACTTTAAAATTGCTATCGGAAGAGACCCTGAACCCGGAACAAGGAAAATATTCCTCGAATTTTTTGAAAGGTTTTATACCATGTTTATCTAATGATTTCCTTTTAACGCTTGATAATTAATCTTCTTTAGAAATACAATAATAATCACCTAAAAACCGTGCTGTTTATTAGAATTATCCCCCGATTTAGTATTTGTGAGATTGATAAATTATATGAGAGAGAAGAAATATATAGAATTTTCAATGAAAAAACGTGTCAAGCAGTGTAGGCATTATAAAGTCTTAGACGAGACCTGTTTTTGATATATCACCCTAAATTATTTTGTGTATATGAAATAAATTTGAAAATTCGAGAATAATAATTAACGTTCCATTTTCCAGTCCCTCCGGAGCCGCCCATCATCCTGGATAAGTGGGGTCGTCATTTGAACGGCACGGTGGGCCCTTACGAGGTCGGCGACGACGTCGTATTAACTTGTCGGGCGGTGGGCGGTCACCCCCAGCCCACCGTTAGATGGCTGGTTAACGGCCAGGTCGTTGACGACGAATATGAACACGACGCCGGCGACGTTATCGAGAACAAATTCACCTGGCCGTCGGTCTCCAGACAAGATTTGGACGCAATTTTCACCTGCCAATCGCAAAACACTAAACTTACCGAGCCCAAAGAGGCAGCGGTTCTTCTAGAACTTATTTGTAAGTTTGTTTTCGGTTTTTGTATATTTTCGTAATTTTTGTTTATTGATTTTTACAGTGAAACCGTTGACCGTCGGTATAGCAAAAACCGATGGTCCGTTGGTGGCTGATAAACGGTACGAAGTCACGTGCGAGAGTGCTGGTTCTCGACCGCCGGCTATAATTACGTGGTACAAAGGAAAACGTCAGTTGCGACGGACAAAGGTAAGAAACAAATCGCTGGGGCGTTTTTCAAACCGAATGGCATGCGGAAAATGTTGTCCATGACCCTTTGAGAGGTTGCTGGGTTGTTTTTCAACCCGAATGGCGTGCGAGTAAACTCATTTTTAGTAAAAAAGTTTTTTCCGAGCTATAATGCCGTGGTTTATTATTATTTCTACCTAACGTTTCTCTTCTTTGGATTCATAGCTGGAAAAAAAAACTGAAAACACCGGAAAAATAACACACTGGTCCGATTTCGGTATATATTTAGTTTCCAAATAAACGCAATTCTTGCGCGGAGTACTCTGCCGAGAAAAGTAATAACATTCGAAACTCAAGAACGCGCTCTACTTTTACTACCCTAGCAGCGTTCCTATAGACAAACTCTCCAACTGAGATCCTTAAAAATAACCACGCACCTCGCGCAGTTCGACACTCGTTCGCTTGGGATCCTCGCGTACCACTCAGCACCTTTATCCACATTCCATCCCACACTGTCTGCTGTCTTCTTGATTCGCTTTCACCAACGCACTCTCTATTTCCGAGGTTACCCGAATATATCACTTCCGGTTCCTACGCGGGTTGCTCCTTCAATTTTAAATCCTTAGGTGCGAAATGCACTAAATTGTCGAACCACTACAAAACTTTGAAAGGTCGCTGAGGCGTTTTTCAAACCAAATGGCATGTGGAGTAAACTCTCAGTGGGCATTCTCTGTGAGTTGCTTGCTTGGTCTTGGGTATATCCGCTTTGTCCATTGCAATTTGGTGAAAGCCGCTAGCTAGGTCTAATTGTGTTAAAATAATGGTATTTCGTATTTCCCGGGCTTGTTAGGAAGATCAGTGATTTTGGGAAGGAGGTATTTGTCGTTTACAGTTTTCTCTTAATCGAGCATTACTCTCTATTTTTGTAACGCCAAACGTGCATTTTCTTTGGCACTACCCTACTACCGTACGGTCACTGTCTGTATCTAGTGTGTCCACATAAAGCCTGACATTCGAAGACTATGTGAGTGGCGGTTTCATCCTCCTCGTCCTGTTTAGTTGTTGGATCTTTTCAGTAAGTTATCATGGTTGTTGTACCATTAGCTTACTGTGTCTGAGCTTTGGAAGAGTTTGCCAGTGAGTTTGGTGTTGTCTAAATACCCATTGGTTTATTTTGTTCTTCTTCTAACCGAAAATTTTGTCGTGCCAATTGCCAGTTCAGTACTTGTATAACTGGTTGCGGATCCTTCTCGTGCCAGAGCAACTGCTTTTTCATTTCCTTCAATTCATGCTGGGTGAGGGTTCCTTGTTCCTTGTTAGCCATATTTGAGGTTTTTCAAGCGTTCCCAGACAAGTTTGGATTGGAAACGGCAGTAAATGACAAACTGGTCATTTTCATTACAACCCATCAAATATCCTCCGTGCATGCGCACTGGTCCATGTAGGGCGTTTTACCCAATAGGAAGGCTGATATTTGTTTAAAATTTAGGTCATTAAAATGCCATTTACTGCCGCTCGGATTTGGAAATGGTGTAGGTAGCAATATTGTCAGCTGAATACCGAATTTATTGCCGGTGTAATATATACTCTAGTGAAATATTTTCTCTGTCTCCTTTAACATAAAAGGCGATAAGCCTGTATGGACCGACTGATAAGTGTCAGGTTGTTACCTAGCAGATACTTTCTATTCTCTAGAGCATGAAAAGTACCTGACACTTATCAGTCGGTCCATAGTTTGGCCCTAAGATGTTTAAAAAACCATAGCAATCTTTAATTGTTTTTTGCTTGATTAGGCGACCTGCTGCCTTGTAGCTCCTTTCTGTGATCCCCGTCTTTCCTTTTCTTAAACCAACATTTCTCCATCAAGTGTCCTGGCTTCTTATAAAAATTTCAAACTGTTTGAGAACAATCCCTCTTCCACTGCATTGAAAACAATTTTAATCCTTCTTATGTTTTATTTGTCTCCCTTTGGAACTGGCTGCCAAAGGCTGAGCTTTTTCTGATCCTTTAGTCCTCTCCTCTTCAAGCGTTAACCTAGAGAAAAGTTCTATCAAAATTTGCTTGTTTTCGGCGGTGGACGACTCCCTAAGCGGATACAAAATACTTCATATTTTCTGGCAATGACATAAGGACCTTAGTGAGGATCATCTTATCACTGACTTCTTCGCTCAATGTTTTCAGAGTGCCTTTTCTTTCTAATTGGGATATAAATTCTGTCACATTCTCCCCTGTATATTCTAAGGTGAAAGAACGATGAGTTGATAAATAGACCTATCTCGCATACCTAAATAGAAAAAATTGCTTAACTGTAATAAATATAAGTTAGAAAGTAATAAAAGATGACATGCGCGCGCAACTCGTGGCTGCCGTGTAGCCAGATTGTATTGTTACAGAATAAATGTAGACAATACGAATCGAACATTATAACATTTAAGAAGTGATATAGTGTCAAAAGTTTTACGTCTTAAATTAGACAAAAGAAAATCTTTAAAGTGTATGTTAACATCGTTTGCACTTTTATTTTGATAAATGTTTCATCCGGCAACATCGCACAATGAAATTGCAAAAAAATATGTCAAATATAATCTAACATAAGCTTAAACGACACTGCGGTGAGTTCAAGTAATACGTAAAAGTATTATGTATGTCATTAAAAATTTGTGACAAGAAGGCGAACTGTTGTTCTATGGTTATGTCATTAAAAAGTTGTGACAAGATGGCGAACTTTTTTTTTTGATTTAAAGAAAATTATTGTCTAGTATCCAAGTCTTTTCTTTGAAAAAATCATTAAGCAGCTTTTTAAAAGCAAAACTTAATATAAGTATAATAAGATTGAAATTTAAAAACAATCAATAGATATCCATGATAAAATTTACCTAAGTATAAATGATGGAGTCACAATATAATTAACCTTTAATTTTTGACTCAAAGTCAATCAAATCAATAGAAAACAATGTATTCAATGCAGAAAGGTAATAAATAATCCTTAGGCAGTTATAAATATCAAAAACCTGCTACATGAAATCAAGGGTTCACGGTTTCCGGAAGAGCTCTTACCTTCTTACCTATAATTAAAATTCAAAATATGTAATCATGAAACTCAAATCCAACTACCTAAACATTTTACATTGATTTACCTTGCAGAATTACCACCTTATTGATTTGAAACTAAAGGTTAATTAACCTCTAAAAGTTAATGAATATTACATGAATATATATCGATCAGTATTCGATATTAAATAAATTTGTAATAATTATAATAATCCATACTTATATTGGATATTGGATAATAATAACGAAAACGATAATAAAGGTAATTATCGGATTATGATAATAATGAATTAATTAAATTAATAATTATATTAAATCATAGTTAGCTATTAGGCAATTCAAACCACGTGACACTCAAGATGGCGTGGCGGCCACACATGGGCCAAAAAACACAAAGAAATATCTAGTTTCTGCCCGATTTAATAGTTTAGGTACCTAGTCAACAAATATTGTATTAAATAATCAAAATCAAAGTTACAAGCAAAACTCTAAGTGCGCGTTCACATTGACACCGCTCGAGCGGTGAGCGTTGCGCGATGCCGCTGTAGCGATGCCCAAAAATAATTTTAACATTATATTTCAAATGAACATGCTAACACCGCGGGACGCGCCGCTCCATTGTGTACATGTTCATTTGAAATATAATGTTAAGATTATTTTTGGACATTACTACAGCGGCATCGCGCAACGCTCACCGCTCGAGCGGTGTCAATGTGAACGCGCACTAAGCAAAATAATTTAAAATACACATAAAAACATATTCAAAATAAGCTTGCTTGGCCGCCACGTCATATTGAAGTTTCCTTTTTGACAAATGGATTAAATTGCCTAGTTCTAGCTGAATACTACAATACGGTAAATAAGTCGGTAATTGATTTTATAGTTATTAATTAGCTAATTAAGCTAATCGATAGTGAGAGGTAGTGAAAAAGATAATAATAATTAACAGTTATTAATATTTATAAAGATAATTATTAGCTAATAAAGATAATCGATAGGGAGCAGTAAAAAAAGATAATAATAGGTAACGGTAATTATTAAGGCACAGTTACGGGACCCCTAGGTAAGTAATTATACAAGCCTGGACGAAATTCGTGGAAATTTTCATGAATTTGAGATCCAGAAACACCAAACTGACGGAAGGCAATCATCCAATGGTCGGGGATCAGTCTCTTACGAGACACAACTTTCCTTGTAGAGGGGGCCCAGACTTGCTTTGGAAATGCAGTACCGTATGGTCTCAAATTCGTCAAATTTTCACTCCGAAGTGTAGGCGTGGATTTTTTATCCTGTCCCAAATTGCCTGAACGGATTGAAGAAATATAAGGACTCATTTATCAAAGGAAAAAAGGGATTTACATACCTAACGGCCGATAGTCAACCTCACTTTTCAAAACTTTCACAAAAATCAACAATCAGTTGATTTTCCAAGAAACGTTCCAGCTGACATAATTACCCACTACTTTGGCTAGTTAAATTTATATAATTTTGGGCTCGATAGCCAAGAATGAAAACCAAAGTTTTTGGATTTTCCAGAGACGACCTTTTCAATCTAACTATCAAATCGAAAAGATAAGTCAAAAGTACCCCTGTGGTTCTGTCTTTTTTCCTCTGTCAAGCCTGTCGAAATTATAAAAATGACAGCGCTACCGGTTTTCAAAAAAATAACCCTAGTTAGGTTCGGAGTTGGAGTAGAGTGAATAAAACTAACCCTGATATGGTAAAAAGCAGAACCCGAATAACTGGAGTGCGAATGGAGTCACTCGAAGTGTACGGAGTGAGCAAGCCGAACGCATCTCTCAATAACATAACTTTCGGTAGTAGGTTAGGAAAGTAGTCAGAAAAATCATAGATATCGCCAGGTGTACGGAAAAGTATTTTAAACTTAGAGCAAGTAAAAGAACTAAGGAGTAGGAACGCGCTAGCTCTAAGATTTTAAATGAGTCCAAAATATATGAAATCAATAGAGA